AAAAGATAAGTGCACTTTGGTGACATAGGTGGCAAAATCAATTCTTTTAAATCTCTCTGCATGCACTACCATATACCTGACACTAGGGTGTTACAATTCAGCCCCACTAACTGATCGCAACGTTCTTGTTGCGCACCAAGACCGTAACCCCCGACAGTGTGAGCCCTCTCGACTCCACACTCGTCTGGGTTCGGCTCTGATACCACTTGTAACGCTCCGACCGTCCCTACCAGTGGGCCCCACGTCCTCTCTCGGGCCCATGGGCCCACCCCTGTGCGACAGTCGGTTCGCTACGTACGAGAGGCTTTAAAGACTTGTTTACCGACCCTACAAATCACCACATGATCTTTCCCTGTGTTTTGTCCTCACTCACACAGTTCTGACAATCACTTCCCGGAAGATCACCCATCCTGAAACTACTCCAGCCCAAACACGCTTAACTGTGGAGTTCTCTCAGGACAGTTAGTTGACCGAAAAGATAAGTGCACTTTGGTGACATAGGTAGCCAAATCAATTCTTTTAAACCTCTCAGCATGCACCACCATATTCCTGAAACCGGGTGTTACAACTGACCCCTTAAAATTATGATACTGTGTTACAGTCCTTTAATATTTATAATATTGTTTATAATTCTTGTGTTTTGACCCTCTTAAAAATCTCAATTGTGTTATAGCCCTTTAAGATTCATACTATTGTTTATAATTCTTATGCTTTGACCCTCTTAAAATTATAAATTTGTATTTCAACCCTTTAAATTTTAGAATTTTTTAATTTCTTTATGTTTTGACTTTTGAGCCAATTCGTCACATATTTTTAGCATTTTTGTTTACTCCCATATATATTGAACCTAATTTGTGGTTCTTTTATTTTATTTTAAAAATCGTTTTTGCTTTTTGTTTTTAAAATTATTAGTTATATTTTGACCCCGTAAAAAATATTTTTAGGTCCGCGACTCTGGATTCTGTCAATATATGAGCTTGATGGTGATCGATACATATTCAGTCGTATTAACATTGACAACCAAAGGAATTCAAACTTAAATAAATATGAAATTTGAATTGAACAATCCTGATTAGTGATTAGTATGTGTAGTCATAAATTATATTTAGCCTAGGTAATGAAAGCATGCACACGATATATATAACATATCCGAAATCAATTTTTTTGGTTAAAGATCCGTACTCAATTCAGATACATAAAAGGAACATTATTCATCATTATTGCTAAGTTACGTGTAAAAGTATGCTATGATAGTAGTTTTAAGAATAAATCCAAAAGTACATGTAGATCCGTGCTCACGAAATCATCCAATATGAGTTTTATTTTTACTTTAGAGACAAAAAGTATAGGGCGGAAAACTGAAATTGAAACTAGTGTAGGTCAGAAAAATACGGCAACCCCGTAAAAATATGGTATTTTTGTTGGGTGATTTTGCTTAGAGACAAAATTGAGCAAGGAAATTAGGGATTCAACTATAGTAGGATTGGTTGGGGACAAACAAAAATAGGCATGATGTTTGGGCCTGAAGATGAAAAAAATAACGAAAATACCACATCGTCTTCGGTACATGCGCTTGGGCGAGTTGATATTGCCGTTTCATGAAGTCAAAGAATAACCTGCAAAACAATTAATGCTACGAGTCAAACTGACAAAGCTTACAAAAAGAAAGAAGTGATTGGCAATAAATGCAACAGCTCTTATCTCGAGCGAATTAATATTGGCAATATGTAGAGTATTATTAGTATTTGTATACATGTAACAGCGTATATAGAGAATTATTAATATTTTTGTATTTATAAATATTTAGTTGTAGATCTACAAAGCTTTTTGGACATCTATGCAAAGATCTATAATGCAAAAATGCAGATCTAACCAAACTTATAGAGAGATATCATCCATACAAAGATCTATAACGCAAAAATGCAGATCTAACTAAACTCATAGAGAGATATCAAGTAATTCAGATAAATAAATTATCAGAATTCTCCGATACGGCGAGTTAAATAGCATATGCGAGAGAGTGATTAGGATTCTCCGGCGCCGTGAAGTGAATAATATACACGACGAATCAGTTAGATCGGAATGAAGAGGAATTAAACAGTAATGCTAGAGAGAGATGATGAGACTTAGGAAAACGATGAACAAGCGAGGTAAATGGACATCCAAGAATCAAGAAATATTAACGAAAACAAAAATTTATATGAATAAGCGAGTGGGGTTAAAATTGGGCAAAATAGAGGCTAACATAAGTGTTGTTCTGGGCTTTGTGTCAGTTTATCAAAAAAACTAAATAGTACTCCCAATAATGTCTCTCACCCAATTATCTTATTTTTGTTTGGTTATAAAATACCTTTGTTTGAAAAATCGCTAGGCGCTAGTCGGGCGCTCGGCATGGACCTAGCGATTAATCGGAAAATCGGATTAAAATCGAGGATTAATCGGGGATTAGTTTTAGGGTTATTTTAATATTCTTAAAACATATCAATCCAATATTATTTTCAAAATTGCAGTAAATACATAAAAATGTATTTTTGAGACAAATTTTTATGATTTTTATTACAAATTTATGATTTTTATTAAAATTTGAACATAAGTTATTGTAAAACATTACAAAGTCCCAATTCAAATGATTGAATAACAAAAATTAAAAGTTTTTTTATACTAGCAATCTAAAAATAATCGGGGTATGTAAGATTAGGCGGAGAATAATCGGATTAGGCGGGAAGTAATCGGATTAGGCGGAGAGTAATCGGGTGACTGATTTCTTTAGAGGATTAGTCATTAATCGAGGCGGATAGGGTGGGCCTAGCGATTAAGCGGGGAGTAATCGGGTCTAGGCGGGGATTTTTAGAACAAGGTAAAATACCAATGGTTCTCTTTGTTGTTTCTTTATCATGACATGAAGGACCCATCATCCATAATTATTATTCTCAATAGTATGTTTTTTTAACTTGACTTATTTGACAAACTCAACAAAAGGTAATTAAATCTGAGAAATCAACAAAATTTAATGATTAAAATAAAAAATCATTTAAAATTAGTGAATTTTGTTACAGGAAGCAAAGTTGGTGTTTTAGCATTTTTAAGTTACGATTTTTTTTGACATTTTTTCCAAATCAAAACCCTAATCTCAGCGCTACCCTAATCCCTAGCCTCTAGGTAGCCGTCAATACAATATACATATTAGATCTCCTTGACATTTCTCTCTTCTCTAACGTCAAGGTCAAGGTACACAAAATTTTTTTGTTTTTCTGGATCTGAAGCTTCTTTGGTTTGTCTTCTAGCCATTACATTTCTTCCTATTGAATCTCAATGTTCTTGTTCTCTGCTCTGTACTAAATAATCCATGTGACATTTTTCTGGGATTTTTGGTTGTGATTGGAAGTGATAACCCTCGGATACTAAGTAAAAAATCAAGGCTGGATTCTCTAAGCAGCTCTGTTACTGGAAAACTTTTTACTTGGTTTCTGGTTAGAAACACTCTAGAGAGCTTGAGATTTGGCAGTGTAGTGATGTCATAGGCCTTTGATCGAGGGAACACTTCTTATCATATATTAAAATTCTTGAAAGTTTGTGTCTCAAGTCTCTAAGGTTTGATGAATTGTTGCAAATCTGAAATTTGGTAATACTTGGTGTAATTTGGTGAAATTTACTCACCACATCTTAAGAAGTCATTGGTGAAGTCATTGGTGAAGCAGACCTCGAGGGTTGCTTTGGAGGACATCAAGCTCAAGTTCATTGATACGTCTTCTAAATTCTCATACTGTCGTTTCCAGACTAGTCTGGAGAAGGCCAAGTTCTATGGCAGACTCAAAGCTTAGATTTTCAAAATTCAGTTCCTCGTATTGCTTTCTAGAGTTTCTATTTTCTTGTTGACCATTTTGGTAAAACATACTTTTATGCTTTATTTAATGAAAAAGGGTAAGCACAAGCTCTCACATACACGGCGAGCAATAGATCCATGTGTATCAATATCTACAAGAAACAATATTACGCAGAGGGTGGAATCTTTAGTTTACTTATTTAGAACTTAGAAGCTCTAGTAATTGGTAATACATAACTAATATAAAAGTATGTTATGATAGTAATTAATTCAAAAAAAAGTAAAAGGTGGTGTTTTTGTTTGGTTATAAAATACCAATGGTTCTCTTTGTTGTTTCTTTATCATGACATGAAGGACCCATCATCCATCGTTATTATTCTTAATAGTATGTTATTTAACTTTTATTGCACATTATTCTATGTTGTTTGCTTCTTGTGGACAAAAAACGACAAAGATATACCCACTAATAAGGGTACATGAAACATCAAAGCCGTTTTTAGTTACGTAAAAAATGAATAAGCTAAAAAAGTGGAAATATATATATATATATTTTTAACAACTATATGAAAAAAATATTTGATTAAAAAGAGAGTATGAAAAGATGTAAAGGGAGAGTAGAATATAGCTTTGTCTTTACATTTTGTCATGTCCCCCAAATTTGCGTACCTACGAATATTCACGATACCTTACGCCAAGACTTAACTAAATTAAATTTAGGACAATGGTTGGTTGATGGTGATTGATTAGCTCGATTCGTCGGTCTGAAATCTGTGTAATTAGTAATTTGGCTGCATCATTTTGGGTATAACGCAATGGTTCGTCTTCTCAACGAACGTACAACTAAATTCTAAGTACTATTTTGCGAAATGCCCCATTAGAACATTATTTTATCATTCCAACAATGAGAAACTATTTTCGACAAACAACTCTCGTCTATGTTTTTGAGATTCTCTTCATTCACCGCATCAAATTGTCTTGGCTAATAAGCGATCCTTTACTATTTCTACTTCGACCAATATAGTGCTCACGGCTCGAATAATTCCATTTCACATCTAACAAAAAAAAAGACTCGAATAATTCTCAGCAACAAATTTGAAATTTCAAGGCTCGAATAATTCTTTATTAACAAAAAGAGCTAGGTAAGGTAAAGATTGTTTTTATTTTCAAAAAGGAATGTGTAGTTTCTTTAGACATGGTAATAGCATAGTATGGAAATTAAAGATATAAAGTAGAAAGGGTACTTAGGGTAAATAGAAATTATATAAAACAAGTCATGGACAAGTGTGAATTTATCACTTTAAGACAGTGAAGGAGATTATAGGATCCAGAGACCAAGATTATGTCTCCTCCTAATCCTTAGGTACTATTATCACACAAACTCTCGTTAGTATTTTTAATTATCCTTTTTTTTTGTCGTCTGTTTATTCTTTTCAATATAGAAAATACATACACTTTTTTTTGTCAATCAGAAAATATATACACTAAATAACAAAATTCTTTCTTCTTATTGATCTCTTTCTTAGATAAGAGCAAAAGCTGAAGGTTGAAGATGAACGAGTCGAGGTCGATAAGAACATGGAGCATATACAGAAGCAAAGAGGCTTCAGGGTCATCTATGAATGCGATTTCGTTTGGGTTTGTGGCGACTGCAATATTGATATTAATGTTCATCATATTGGCAATCCTCGAACATCTCTTCAAGTCCGATCATTCTTCTTCTTACGATGTTGATGGCTCTTCTCAGTTTCAGAAACTTGCTGAAAAAACCTCTTTGGTAAACATTAAACACCACAATTTTTTTAGTTTTTTTAGTTTTTTTTTTTTTTTTTTTAGTTTTTTTTTTTTTTTTTCTTTGCGCCTTATTCGTCCCCTTCTCTCATTTTGTTATGAAAGACTTAGCCTACAATCTGTAGTATGATATTTCTTGAATTTATTTAGGCCTTTTTCTGAAAAAAGAGCATATTAAATTTGAGATTTTTCTTTTACAAAACCACAACCCTTTGAAGTTTCACCAAAATGTAATTAAGCAAAAATGAAGTTTATAAATGTCTATAGATTAAACCAGTCTGTAAAAAAAATAGCAGCAGTAGTAAAACTTCAAAATCTACTAATAACATTAATATAAAAAACCTTGAAAGTTTCTTATTTATTCACTAAAACTAATTTCCCAAAAATTTGTTAGGTCTTTAATACTTTTCTTAACATTTTTGGTTGTTGTTCACTTTCGTTTTTGACGTGAAAACACCACCTTCTAAAAATTATCTGACATAACCTAAGCACGTGAGATGGCAGGTTCCGATTACTACGTCAGATGTGTCGGTGGTGATGCCGGGAGAAAAATTGCCGTCGTACGTAGCTCTTCGGGCGCCATTTCCTTGCCGGAGAGAAGGCATTCGCTGGCCTTCCCACCTCTAATATATTATTGTCTCTCTTAGCTTAGTCGTTGTATCATAATTGTTCTGATCAACTCAACCTTGACACCTTGAACAATTGCTTGCTGGATCAAAGTTAGTTAAAGATTTCTGATGATTCTTTCTTTTTTTGTAAGAACCGAGGTAGCTAACTGCCATTATAACCCTCACGAATGTATCGATTGTCCAATTAAAATATTTTGCTAAGTTCACCTATATAAGGCGACTAGCAAACTTTTGCTAAGTCGGAATGGAGGCGTACCATCAATAGTTGCGTACAAGAGACACGCCTCTTATGTTTAAGAAGTTTAAGAACTTCAAGAAAATATGGCTAAGAAAATTTTCCTAAGAACAATCGTCGGAAATTTCCGACAAGATATTAACAAAATTTTGAAGTCGTCGGAAATTTATTGGAAAATTCTAACAAAATATATGTTGTCGGTGAATCGTGGAAATTAACGGATAATAATTCATTGAAATGTGGTCCAAAATTTCTTACTATGTTTTTATGGACAATAAACGGAAGAAAAAGCATGACCAAGAAAAACACAATCTTATGAAAAATGTTCCTCCAAATGCAAGAGAAGTATCTTGAAACTTGACCAAGCTAATCAAAAGATTTAAGAGTTGGACAGTAAATGTGAGGATGCGGCCTACTGGACTTCCATGATGCAACAAACTCATCCCAATTTGGTCTCGCCTTCTTTTTTTTTTTTTTTGGGCAAAAGGCTTTCTTTCTCATTAACTCATTCGGTCTCACAAACAAACAAGTTTCTCAGAGAGAGTTTAGCGAGGTGATCTGCCTCATGGTTTTCGACTCTAGATATGAAATTAAAGGAAACATTGATGAAGTTAGAAGATAAAAACAGGATATCATGGAGAATCCCGTGGAGCTCCTTCGGCGGTTGCTCCGATTTGATGGCTTCAATTACTTGTTTAGAATCTGAAGCTAAGTTGAGAATTTTAACACCAAATCTCAAAGTTAGAGTTATAAATGAATTTTAACACCAAATCCCGTGGAGCTCCTTCGGCGGTTGCTCAAAGTTAGAGTTATAAATGGATATTCCAGTTCTCCACTTCCTTCAAATCTGAGCTCTTGAGGGTTTGAGGGTAGTTTTGTTGACCGTTCACAGGGCGAGGGGCGTCTCCTACGCCGGGCTCTCCTGCGAGAAACGCCGTCGGGTTCTCTCTAGCTTTGATTTTGGTCGGAGTTTACTATTTTGGGTAAAGAAAAGTGGTTGAGGTTTTGCTGTTTTTAGTAAAATAAGAAGGTTTAGATCTTCTTTTCAAAAACCTTTACCAAGAATAGCTTCTCGTAAAACGTGCCTGGGAGCTTTTTTTCCACAATTGAGCTTACGGTTACTGTTTCCTTTAGCATGATTAGGACTGGTCTCGCCTTCTAAGAGAGTGGAAACTAAAAACAAAAACGTCGTGGCTACAAGAAAATATATCTATTCCGGCCACCATATCCATCAGAATTGATCTATTCTGGTAAATTTCTGTCAAAATAAAACTTGTAGGAATTTATCGGTCGGAAACAAACAATTTCTCGAAATTCGAAGAAAATTATTGACGAAGAATATTGTCGAAAATTTGTTAGAAAAATTTCTCGACAATTCATCAAAAATTTATGAACTAATGTGGGACCAAAAAATTCCGACCAATTTTCGACGAATGTTTCTTACATCGGAAGTTGGTCAGAAATTGGTCTGAAATTTATCTGTATTTTTTCGACCACGTTTTTTGTTGGAAGTACTCGTTGGAATTTAGGATATTTTCTTGTAGTGAATTAACCCTTTTGATTTGTAATTGATGTTTTATGTTTAAAATTATGATTTTTTATTTATATTTTAACTTTCATTTTTAATTAATATACCTTTTATATTCAAATTTATTTCTGTAATTTTGTTTATTTTTAATGAAAATGATCGTCAAACATTTCTGATGGTTTTTCGACAACATTGTAAATAGTTGTCAGAAACTTGTCGAAACTTCTGGCAAAATTCCGATGACTTTACATTAATTCCAATGACTCGTTTGTCGGAAACAAGTCAAAATTTACTGACAATGTTCTCACTATATTTTTCATCAGAAAGTTTGATCGGGATATAATCTGTAATTTCCAACGAGAGGATAGTTAAAAAAATTCTGACAAGACAAGCCGTATAAATCTTCATTGCCCTATTTTATCTGAAATGTTTGACGAATTTCATCGACATTTATTACTGTTTTCAAAAAAATAAAAAATAAGAAATCATCCAAAATAATATTTGAAAGTAAAATATAACTAAAACTAAAAGGTTTAATTTTTAAATCCATAAAAGAAAATATCAAATGTCATCAAAATAAAGTATTGATTAGTAACAAATATATTAGAAAAAGTAAGAGATTAGATAAGGAATAAGAAAAACAAATTTTGGAATAGAGAGATATGAATATGGAGAGAATGAAAGATTTAAGTTTAAACTTTGCTTTCAATGAGACAAACTATTATAGTTCTATATATCTAAACAAGTTCCAACGACATATTGCATAACTAATTTGTAGGAAACAAAAATCCGCTAAATTCAATTGATTTTGAAATTGAAAGAGGGACCGAAAAAAGGTTTTAATTTTCGATGAATTTTTGATGGACTTGGAAATATTCATTGGAGAAATGGTCGAGGTGTAAATATGTAATTTTGATGAATATTTTCATATCCAACAAAAACTCGTTCGTCATAAATCCATAAATCCATAAATTTGTCACCGCGTAAAACTAAATGTATGTTGACAGGACATCGGGTACGTTAGCGAGGAAAGTACACTCTTTAACATCACCATCTTGCCTGCCCCCGAGAGGAAGCGATTGGACCAGCTAATAGCTCTTTGACGCATACGATCAACAATTGAAGTAAAAAGATCCTTCCTTTTGCGCCCAAAGAGTTCTGGCAGCCCTAAGTTTGATAGACCAAATCTTTATAATGGAACATGGATAATTATTGAAATCCATGCCTCTTCTTATTTTGTGGGCAAGACATCTTAGTTGTCTGAATCATATCCATGTATTTTATAACCGTGTTCGACGTAGTTTCCCCGACTTAAGAAAACGCAGAACTTCGCAAGACTTGACCGTTGACTCTCAATTACAACTTGTTCCTTGAAGGTAGGAACGAGACGTTAAAGGTCACTTTGTTTGAAAGTCTTTTTGTCCGAAAATTTATTAGTAGTCAACTTACAGCCAGCTATATAATTTGTTTTTTTGGTTTTCGAAATTATTTTTCTAGTTTCATTAAGGGAAAAAAACTAGTTCGACCCAAAAATAAGGTTTAATTACTAAAATAACTCATAAAATGTATGAGTTAATCTAGTTATTTTCCTGACCAAAATACTCTTTGTCTCTTTGTTAGGAAAAAAAATAAAGTCAATATTACCCTCTGATTTTTCTGGAAACGTGGGTGAAATTTTTTTTTTAAAAAAATCTGCCGTTAAAAGTCTGTGGGCGTCGTTGTGACAGATTTATTTTCTCCGACAGATTTAATAGTCTACGACAGATTTTCTGTGGCAATTTTTTTTCTCCCACAGACTTATTTGAATATGGTTACGACAGATATTTAATTTGTAGCAGATTTTTTTCCTTTGCCAGACTTATTTTATGATGACGCCTCAGACTTTCGTAATTTTGACAGTTTTATTATAATATGTAGCAGATTTTTGTTTCTAGTGGCGTCAGACTTATTTTTTTTGGAAAAAAACTGTCATAATACAGCAGATTTGTTAATAAAAATAATTACTAGTTTGACTTTTTAGTGCTTACAGATTTGTTTTACGTTATGACAGACTTTTTATTTTTAACAAAAAATCTGGAATGTTATAGCAGATTTGTTTTTAAAAAATTGAAATTGCTAGAATGACATATAGTCACAACCGATATGTTTAACGTTATGACAGATTTTTTTTTATGTTATGCCAGATTTATGTTTAATTTACAAAAATCTGGTGTTTCATAGCAGATTTCTTGAATTAAAAATAAACTAGGATCAGACCCGCGGTCCACCGCGGGAGAATATTGGTTTACATACGTTGCGTTTAATATTGTGTGTATTTTTTAGTAGAACGAATCGTGTAGTATACTTATAAATATTCATAATAACGAATTGTAGAGAAAATGTAAAATTGTTTATAAATATACCCATCGTATTAATTATGATTTACAAAATAGAATTTTGGGTTTTAAAATTCTAAAATTAGACGATTCATGGGAACTAAAACAGTCAAAATAGGTCAAAAACCGCGGGTCGAGCCCACATCATCTCACTATGGGGCAGATTTGGGAAAATATATTAAACCCGCAAATAAGCGGGCCACATGGATTAATTCGCAGTGGGTCATAGGTTTAATCGGTTTTCATCCATGGGTTGGAGGATCAGCCCGCATATTAGTATTTATTGATAAAATTATAATTTATTCAACATGTGGTAATTTAAACAAACTTTTAATAGTATTTTTATTTATTTATTTATTTTAGTAGTATTTAAAATTTTGGTTACTTTAAAATTATTTAAACAAAATCCATGGACAATCCCGCAAATCCGCATACATTCGCGGGACGGGTTTGTATTTCATATATGCTACCCGCGGGTCGTGCGGACCGACTAACTACAAGTCAAAATATTTTTTGTCTATCGCAAAACGGACTTAACGGGACGAATCAACTCGCTTTGACAGTTATAATGGGAATATTATTTAGTCATACAACAAAATGAAGTTTGGACATAGTAATAATAGAATATGTATCTTATTTGTTAGATGAGAGATTGAAAGATGAAGTATAATGATTAAAAATTAATTATTATTTTTCATGATTCACAAAATTTAATAAATACTTATCATCTTGTTGAATAATTCTAAAATCATATTCAAGAAATCTTTATAAATTGAAAATTAAACTTCTTTGGTAAGCTATAGGTATGAAAATATCATAATTTCGATTTAATCTAATTAAATTAAAATTAGTTACATGGATTTCATATCTATTTAATTTACACGACCAAAATAAAAATATCTATTTAATTTACACGACCAAAATAAAAATATCAATTTAATTTATAAAATAGATGGGTTATTTGTGATAAATTTTCTAGAAATCTTTAGAAGCAAATAAAATATCTTTCAATTAATGATAATTGGCTAAAATGAGCGAAATTAATGACAAAAACGTTGATTGTTATGGAATTAGTCCCAAAAATATATGAACAAATTTATTATACGTAATTAATGTATAATATTGTTCGGAATACGCTTTTATTATTAGTTACCATAAGTACAATCAAATTTTATTTGATTTCCATAAATATTTGATTTTATTTCGATTTTTCATTATTAGGGGGTGTTATTGGTTTGTGATTTAAATAGAGTTTTGATGACTTTAATAAAATCATAGAAAGTGAATAAGTGAATGATTTAGAAGAATTGTTAGAGAGTTTTCTATAGTCTTGTTGATTAGTTTTTCTATAATCTTATAGAGTCTCCCAAACAATCTCAATATTTCAGCATACTTTCCATGACTTTATTTTGTAAAGAAAAGTGTTTAAAATCATAAACCAATAACACAATAATTGAATTCATTAACAATCATAGATTGTCATAGATTGTTTTGTTTTAGTTGAATAACACAAAACTTTTAATGACTTTATAAAACTCTTAATCCAATAACACAATGTTCATTAAGATTTTAAATAACTTTTTACAAATCACAAACTAATAACACCAAACTTTAAGAGAGTTTAACAAAATCTTGATTGAATAACAACAGATTCTACACAACAATTAAAGTCATTAAAACTCTATTTAAATCACAAACCAATAACACCCCCTTAATTCGAATTTATATTCCAAAAAAATTTCAAAGATCCGATTTCAGAAATTGGGTCAATTTTCTGATTTTAACCCGACCCATTTTCATTTGTACTTCTCTTTTAATCTACTATACATTTTTGCAACAGTTTTTGGGGTACCCAAATCGGGTCAAATTTGTTTAATTTTGACCCGGAAATCTTCAATCGGATCTTTCCTTAAATTTTGGCAAAATTAAAAAACGAAAATAATTAATAAAATCTAAAATATATATACTTTCTCAACTAATTACTATATTTAAACGCTTTATTTATGGTATATTCTCCACGATTTTTATAGATAAAGAAATCAAATATGATGATTTAATGCTAATATAACAAATTTGCACTAATTTCCTAAAACCTCTCTATCTAATTTAAACATAAATATATGATTCTTATTTCACTTTTATTTGATCTTATATTTATATTATTTTAAATTATTATAAAATATATAAATAGTTAGTAAATTTTAGTTTTTTTTTTTTCTGCATATGTTACAATTCAAATTTTTTAAAACGGACATATATTACTCAATCGATGAATAAAAATATGTGTGTAATCTATATTAACATTTTTAAGAACAAATTGAGCATTTAATCATGTCGTTATTTTATTCAGACCCGAAATTGAGTCATTCGGATCTTTCTTTAATTTTTACAATTATCTAAAATGGGACAGTATATCACGGGTGAAATCCTAATTAGTATTTTAAGATACAATTATAAATTGTTTTTACGGGTTGGTCCAAAAACACACACTAATTTAAAAATATACATGGAAACTATTTGAAAGCAACTTTCAAATTAACTCGAATTATATGACATTTGAATAAAAGTGTTATTAAAAAAATAACAAAATGATGTTTAATTTAATTTTAGATTATATGGTTGGACGGGTTTGGGTCAATATTAATACGAGACAATATACCACAGGTGAAATCCTATAAATAACAAATCAAAATACAATTATACAATCTTAAACACTAAACAAAACAAATACAACTTAAAATTTTTTATTTTAGATACAACGCATGTGACCCGTGGTATACAACAAAAAATATTATACACAATAAATTCATCAATTTATAAAAATAAAAAAAATCAAATAATTAACCCGCGGTGTACCGCGGGTCATATCCTAGTAGTATAGAGATTATTGGAATGACCTATTTAGTGATAACAGATTTTTTCATGTTATGACAGATTTTTATTTTATCATGACAGATTTGTCAGATTTTATCACTACAAGGTTATGTTTGGCAATTTTTAAAAAAAATCTGCAAAACTAGGATACGGTAGACTTTAGTTTAATGTAACAGACTTGTTAAAATTAACTGCCATATTTGATTTTTAATTAAAAAAACGAATTTAGTTTTTATTTTTAAAGGAAATGGCATAATGAAAAGTTAAATAGTCTTTTTACATAAAATTTGGGTTAGTCTAGTTATCCATTTGGATTGAGAGTCATTCTAGTTATTTTAGCTAAGTTTTGAGTCAAACTGGGTAAATTTAACTTTCTTTAAATTAAACTTTCAAAACTGGCTCTAAAAAAATAAACTCCAAAGCAAAAACATTTGTTATATTTTTCTAATTCATTAGATCGACAAAACGGTATACAATTCTTTACTTTGATAATTATTATTTCGTACACCATTTTTTTTTTCTTTGATAATTATTTCATTAGCAACAAGAGAGATAGTATATCTTATCTTCTTTAATATTAAAATTCGATGTTCTACAATCAAATCAAATCAACACTAAAAAGTTTTTAAACAAACCGAACATTGCGTTTGAATTAACCTAGGATGATAATTGCGTTCCGGTAATACTGTGGTCGAAAGTAGAAACTGTGTTTATGTACCAAATCTGATCTGTCAAAGGGATCACATGATTACGTATAAGTATTAGTGATCTTTTTCTAATTATTAAAAAGAATTATATCGCCGCCAAGATGGAACAAGTCATTGTTTGTTTAACGCGCACTTCTTCTCAACCATTTATCAAGATAAGAAACCATTATATATAAAAAATCCACAGAGAATGAAATTTACATATTTTCAAATCTTCAAAAGTTGAGACCAGAAGAAGAGAACTCATGGAGATGACAGAAGCTTCCAAACCGATAACAACAGAAGAATCAGCAAATCCAGAACCAGACCAAATCTTGAGTCCAAGAAGATCATTGGAGCTAAATCAAAGAAAATGGTGGATCTCTGTTTCTTTATGTATTTTCTTAGTCTTGCTCGGAGATTCTCTCGTCATGCTTCTCTTGAACTTTTTCTATGATCAAAACAATCGAGAAGACAGTGATCAAGATCTACAATACCAAGGAACATGGTTGCAAGCTCTGGTCCAAAACGCTGCGTTTCCACTCCTCATCCCTCTGTTTTTCATTTTCCCTTCACCAAAACAAAACCAAGAAACCAACAATACTCGTTTCCTCTCTTTTCGTCTCCTCTTACTTTACATCTCTCTTGGTGTTCTTGTTGCTGCTCACAGCAAATTGTTTGCACTCGGGAAATTATATGCAAACTATGGCGTCTTCACGCTCATTTCCGCGACACAGTTGACATTTACCGCTATTTTCACAGCCATCATTAACCGTTTCAAGTTCACCAGATGGATTATCTTATCGATAATCCTCACCATTTTGATTTATGTTTTTGGTAGTCCTGAATTTGGAGGAGAGCCTGATGAAAACGAAGAATTCTACAACATCCAAGCTTGGTTAACTTTCGCTGCTTCAGTTGCTTTCGCATTATCTCTCTGTTTAGTCCAACTCGGTTTCGAGAAAGTGTTGGTGAAGACAAAGAGATATGGTAATAAAAAAGTGTTTAGAATGGTCTTAGAGATGCAAATATGTGTCTCTTTTGTCGCCACGGTTGTTTGTCTCGTGGGTATGTTTGCGAGTGGCGAGAATAAGGAACTGCAAGGCGATAGCCACAACTTTAAGAAAGGAGAAATGTATTACGTTATGAGTTTGATCGGGTTGGCATTGTCCTGGCAGGTTTGGGCGGTCGGGCTGATAGGTTTGGTGCTTTATGTTTCGGGTGTGTTTGGCGATGTGGTTCATATGTGTACTTCCCCACTTGTGGCTTTGTTTGTTGTGTTGGCATTTGATTTCATGGATGATGAGTTTAGTTGGCCTAGAATTGGTACTTTGATAGCAACACCTTTGGCTTTAGGATCTTACTTCTATACACTGCATAAGAGAAACAAAAAGAAGATGGTGGAACTTTACCAAACAGAGAACAATATTGAAGTTTAGTATCTCATGACAAATGTATGTTTGTGTTTTAAAATATGTTCTTGTTCTGAAAACTATGTTACATATTTGTTAATTGTTTTAGTTTGAATTTTTGTATTTATTTTTTACAATATTATGTTAATGAATATTTGTGACTACATATTATTCCAGTAGACATTGATATTGTTGATCGTAGTTAAGAGAATAAACTTTTCAGTTATTAATGGGTGCCTCAAATAATGCTAAGAACAGAGCAATGAAATTGCCTTTCTTTTCTTCAACAATGGATTACAATCAAGAACTCTAACTAGCTTTGAGGTTCTAGAGATCTCATAAGTCCCCTCTAGCTAAAAGGCTCTCTTAAAAGACTATGTGGTCAAACACTTCTAATTTGTTCTTCCTTTCCTCTATTTATATTACTTATGTGCCAATGAATACCACCCCCATTAGCTTGAGCTTGTCTTCAAAATGATATGAATATATCAATCTCAACATTTCATATAAAGAAATAAGAAAAAAAAAAACAGATTTCTTCTTGTTTTTAGTCTCTTTGTGCTTATTTGTCATCGTTTCCGAAACTACTACAGGCAAAGGCCTCTAGTTTGTTCTCTCTTTTCTTTATTTATACGACTCATGTTTCAATCAATAACATCGATTATACTACAAGAGCAAGTCCTTAAATTTATTTTGTTTTTTTTGGTTGAAGACAAGCAAAAAACAAGTCAGAGATGTGTACATATGCTTACACAAGTCCATAGTTTTCTTTGCATTTTCCACTGTATTCTTGTTCCGTTTTGCATTTAGAGTTCTAGAGCAAACATTACATGTTTTGGTCCATTTTGAGTCGTATAGTAGGTACTTGGAGCACACAAGGAATAAACCAATACATGAAGCTAATTGGCTGACCCCTTCCCGTGAAGATGATGGTATTTCGATGAGAATGAGTAAAGAACCCGAAGATTCCCAGAGATAAATTTTTTTTTTTTGCTAGAGATAATTGACCGCCCCTGACGATCCCATCAACCGGGAGGTCGATCTTTGGCACCATGTGAACTAAGAGTTTAATGTTAAAGGTTTTTTCTGTCTTGTCAGTTTCTGATAGATTTGGGCTTTAACATGGGCTTCCAACTCAAAACCAATTGGCAATGAGTGGATTGGCTCTAACCCTTTATATATCACTTGATAATTTCTCCAACTTCCGATGTGGGACTTTCTCTCATTAACACCCCCCCCTCACGCTCAGACATCGTTGGCTCTGAAGCGTGGGCATATGTGGGAACAACATCCACAGGGTGGCCCGATATGAGATTTCAATAACACCCTTCCTCACGCTTAGGCATGAACATCTGAAGCGTGGGCATATGTGGGAACAACATCCACAGGGTGGCCCAACGATCGGGTGGCTCTGATACCATGATAGATTTGGGCTTTAACATGGGCTTCCAACTCAAAACCAATTGACTATGAGTGAATTGGCTCTAACCCTTTATATATCACTTGATAATTTCTCCAACTTCCTATGTGGGACTTTTTCTCATTAACAGTTTCAAGATTGTTTTGCGTCAGTTGCTTATTTCAGTTTTCATGGTTTGTGTGTTAAATCGTGGGACATGAGGAAGTTGTTCTTTGTGTTTCATTTATTACTGAGGACAAGCAATTAGCAAGTGGTTCAAAAAACACCATTGTTAGGCTTTCGGATCTCAAAACTGAAACTCCGATCCATTGTTTACTTGAAAATGTTAAAAAGTTCCCTCGCCATCAATTTGCATTTCACTCCCGTCTGTAGATTCCTACTAATAGTTAATAATTTTTGACTAAGTCTAAATGAGTAAAAAAGAAGAGCAATTTTTGGAACTCGTTTAGTTCCTTCTGTGTTTAACTATTTGTTAGCTTTATGTGTATATGTTCAGATGTGGGGGAAAGATGCTTGTTACGTACTATGTTTCTGAGATGATACTTTCACTACAAGTTTCATTACTACAATTGCATGTCTTTTTCTACAATGGTGGTTTACTTAAATATTGTCTAATATACTTAACTGAAAAATCCTTTGGTTTTTCAAATTGAACAAAATTGTAACTGGATTTTGGTTATACTTATTATAAAATAATGTTATAAAAGCTTTTAAAAAGTAGTTAAATATATAAATATATTTAAAAAGTAGTTAAATATATAAAAATAATGGTATTCACCTAGTAAACATACAAATTAAGCAAATGAATTACAAAAAAAAATTGTTAAATGAGGCCTTTAAAATTATTATATATGATGTGGCCTTTGGCTTTTGCCCCATTTTTTTACCGAGCAAGCACGGTTCTCCATGTATTTTATAAGCGAGTTCGACGTGTTTTCCCGACTATAGAAAAATGCGAACTTCACAAGACTTGGCCGTTGTCTCTCCACTACAACTTTTTTCCTTTAAGGTAACTTTGATTGAAAGTCTTTATTGTCCGGAAATTTTATTTAGCAGTCACTTACAGCCAACTTTTTTTGTTTGTTTTTTTTTGTTTTCGAAAATATTTTTCTAGGCTCTTTAACATAAATCTTTAAAACTTGCTTCAAGAATTAAAATCCAAAGAAAAAGATTTGTTAATTTTTTTCTATATCATGTAGATCGATATAACGATATACAATTCTTTACTTTGATAATTATTATCTCATATACCGTGTTTAATATATCAATTTTATAACTTTCTCTAACGATATGTATCAAGAGAGATAATAAAGTTATTTATAATATTAAAGTTCGATGTTCTATAATCAAATCAAATCTATATATAATAGCAATCTCAATAAATGTTTTTTGCAACTTTGAAAGGTATGTATTTTTATCGCAACCTTTCGTTTAAATATTTACAGTTATATATATATATTTTTTTGTCTTTTTATTGCATCTTTTCGTTGAAATATTAACGGTTATTTTTTACGGTTATGTATTTTTATCGCATCTCTTAATTAACATATTTACGGTTTATTTTACAGTTATATTTGTTCAATTACAATCACATCTTTTCACTTTACGGTTGTGTCTTCATAGTTGCATCTATTTATTTTAAGTTACGTCTCATATTATATAGATTTAAATTTTGGTTTTTTAACTAAAATATATATTTTATGGTTGTTTTTAAAAAAAGTTGCAATCTGAATAAATATTTTCTACGGTTGCATCTTTTTATCGTAACACCTCATAAACAATTGCGTTTGTTTAGTTGAACCATTGCAACATTTACTTTGTTCAATTGTAATTTTTAATTCATTTTATAAATCGTTAAAACAATTAAGTTTTTTAAAGCTAAAAATATATATTTTACAGTTGATTTTTTATTATAAAGTTGTCTTCTACAGTTGCGTATTTTTACCGTAACTTTTCGTAAACGATTGCGACCGGTTAGTTAAACCATTGCAACATTTAGTTTATTTCACCAACAAATGCAACTCTTGGTTTATTTTATAAACCATTGTAACATTTAATTATCTACAGTCACGTCTTTCGGTGTAACGTTTTATAAAGTATTATTTCAATTTATGTTACTCAAATGTATTTAAATAAAATTGTAACCGTAACAATCTCAATAAATGTCTTTTGCACCTCTGAACGGTTGAGTCTTTTTATCGCAACATTTCGTTTAAATATTTATAGTTATTTTTTTTTTGTTTTTTTTTTCATCACATCTTTTCGTTGAAATATTTACAGTTATTTTTTTACGGTTATGTCTTTTTATCGTATATTTTCGTTAACATATTTATGCCTTATTTTACAGTTGTATTTGTTCAATTACAGTCGCATCTTTTCACTTTACGGCGGTGTCTTCATAATTGCATCTATTCATTTTAAGTTACGTCTCATATTATATAGATTTAAATTTTGTTTTTTTTAACTAAATATATATTTTATGGTTGTTTTTAAAAAAAGTTGCAATCTGAATAAATATTTTCTACGGTTGCATCTGTTTATCGTAACACCTCATAAACAATTGCGATTGTTTAGTTGAACTATTGCAACATTTATTTTATTTAACGAACAATTGTAAATTTTTATTCATTTTATAAATCGTTAAAACATTTTAAGTTTTTTAAAACAAAAAAATATATATTTTACGGTTGATTTTTTTTAGAAAGTTGTCTTCTACAGTTGTGTTTTTTTTATCGTAACTTTTCGTAAACGATTGCAACCGTTTAGTTAAACCATTGCAATATTTAGTTTATTTCACGAACAAATGCAAATCTTGGTTTATTTTATAAACCGTTGTAATATTTAGTTATATATAGTCACGTCTTTCGGTGTAACTATTTATAAACTATTATTTCAATTTTAGTTACTCAAATGTATTTAATAAAATTGTAACCGTTTAATTGAACCGTTGCAATATTTGGTTTATTTGACAAATTATTGCAACTTTTGGTTTTGTTTTATGAACCGTTGTAATCTTTAGTTTATTTGACGAATCGTTGCAATATTTTTTATATTTGAGAAACGATTACAACTTTTACTATATGTGATATCTACGGTTCAAATTTTTAATTTTAATTACTATTTAAATGAATATGTTGCTACCGTTTAATAAAACATAGTAACATTTGGTTTATTTAACGAACCAATGAACATTTTGACTTATCTGATGAACCGTTGTAACTTTTGGTTTATTTGATGAACCGTTATAATATTTGATATATTTGATGAACCATTGCAACTTTAGTTTATTTGATGAATTATTACAACTTTAGGTATATTTGATGAACCCTTGCAACATTGTCTTTTGTAGTACATTTTGTAGAGTATTAACTAAAGCTATTTTTTTTTTTAACAAAGCATAAACTAAAGTTATATCTGTTCATTTAGAGTATTATCTTGTCACCATGTTTTATTTGTGTTTTTTATCACAAACACTTGGTTCCAATAATTGTGTTCTTTACAAACAATTTTTACTATTTAAACTTTCAATGTCTTTTAAAAAAAAAAAAAAAAATTAAGTGGTGCAAATTTATTATTTCTTTTTGTTTGATATTTTCATAGAAAGTTACATTTTTTGCTATTTAGCATTTATGTATATACTTTGTTATCTATATCATTATTATTTTTTCCTAAATAACTATCTATTTTAGTTATTTGTTAAATTTTCCCGAAGAT